GAGCACATGTCATGCCCAGCCCCCCAAAGTTAAATGCAAGAGCTGCTTGCAGAGAAGGCAACATAGGCCAAAATGAGGGCTGGGGAGCAACATAGCACAGCCTTACCGTCCAGGTCCCCACCTGCCAGCCTTCTCCCCTTTCCCATCTCCTTCCTCCCCCACTCCTCCTCCTCCTCTTCCTCCTCCTCCTCCTCCTCATCATCATCATCCTTCATGAGTCTCCTATAGTTTAGGATGGCCTCAAATTTACTATGTGCCAGAGGATGACCTCGAACTCCTGAACTGCTCTTCCTACTTCCACTCCCTAAGCGGCTGGATTATTGATATTCACCACTATACCTGATTTGAATGATTCTAGAAATCAAGCCCAGCACTGTGCATGCCAGGCAAGCACTGTGCTAACTGGGCCCAACAGCAGCCCTGGACTTCCGTTTCTTGCAGACTACTGTTCCTTGAGCTCTGTGGCCAACCATCCTGTCACCCTGGCCTTCCCTGCTTGCCCAGCCTGAGCTGTGTGGCTCAGAAAAGCTCCCTGACTCTCTGTAATGATCAGCTCTTGGGACCTGGGGCCTTGTCTCTGAGAGCAGCCTGAAGATTCTGGTTTTTGCTGTCACTTCAGCATGGGTGAAGCCCAGGTAAACAGAGCAGGAACTCTGTCTGCTGTTTTCCTTTGGGCGCTGGAATCTGACTGCCCCTGGGGAAATTTACCTGGTTAAGCATCCAGTCCCCCACAGGCAGCGATGGTGTCTGAGCTGGTAGCCTTGCTTTAAGAACCAGCTAAGCTAACACACAGAGCACATTTAGTGTGTGGTTGTCTTGAGTAATGATGGGGATTAATAGTGTTATCAATCAACCCTCCATGGGGACAGCTAGATATCACGCTCACCTCCTGCCTGAGCTATAGCTCCCACCTCCCCTGGGCCATTTTTCTTCTCCTCAGCTCCACAGACATAGACATACCCGTGTGTCCTCAAGTCACACATACACAGCCTGGCCTGCATCTGCAGAGAAACGCTGATGCCCTGTGTCCTTGACACCAAAAGGAACGCTGCCGCCTGTCCATCACCGATGGGTTCACATCTGTAGGGACCACCACTGTGACCTAGGGTCTGGGTCCCAGCCTGGCTCCTCACTGTCACTGTGTAGCAATCAGCTCACAAGGCAAGGTGGAGACACCAGGGAACCCTCTGTGGAAGTAACAGTCAGCTTTCTCCCGCCCATGGCATGTGTCTGTCAAAAGCCATCCAGGAAGGTCTACTGCTCATTATCACATACAGGAACTCGGGTGACGGAAGACATCATGTCTCCTGTCTCCATGATCCCAAAGGCAGAGAGAAGCGGCTGACAATGCAGACACCTAAAAGTGCCACCGGTCACAATCTCCCCCTCCCTAGGGTCAGGAGGAGGCTGTCAGGAAGACACCTCCCCCCAGACACAACTCTTGTACTCAGAGCTCACTGGGTAGAGCCTACATGCACGTGTGGAGAGTGGCAGGGTGTTCCTAATTAAGACTTAACGTGTGGAAGCTCAGACTAGCTCAACCCAGCTGTGGATTCAGAGAAAGCTTGTGTTTCACGAAACGCCTCGCCCACCAGGGAATGCATGTATTATTGAAAGGATCGGAAAAGGAGAGCCAGGGAAGGAGATCTGCTCCATTATTCATCAGGCCCGGAGTCCCCAAGTCTCCAAGCACAGCTGCTGGCTTTCACACCTACAGCATTTTCCCATTATGTCGACAAGAGCGTTTCCAGCCCGCTGTATTGGCAGCCTCTGAGCAGGCTTCCTCTCCTGTCATTCAAGGCCCGTCCACATCTGCAGCCAGCCCTGCAGAGCTGTAGCTAGGCATGGAGGCCCTGGTTAGAGCTACCTCCCTCCCTTTGCCTTCCCAACTCAGGGGTTCTCCAGCCTGAGGGTGGAGCTTAAAGAACCAGAAGGGCTTCTCCACAGTCCCTGTGCCTGTCTGCAGCAGAGGCTTCTGTCCTAGCCACGCCCACCAGACCCCAGCTCATTTGCATCTCAAAGAAGAGTGAAATTGCCAACTCTCAGACCTTGGTCCACACTGGCCATCCACTCTGCTCCGAATTCCCTCTCAGCCCTTACCACTGAAATGGTCTTCATGCCTACACGCCCAGATCTCAGGACCAGGATGTAACTCTCATGTCGGGTGTCATGCCTCTGGAAAAGCCCTTCTGGGAGTGCAAAATTCTCACCAGCTCTGGCTGCACCGAGGGTGCCTGTGCAAAAAAATGGCCAAGCCTCTCTGCCAAATGATTAAGAATTACAAGGTGGGAAAGCTTATCAGTAAACACACCAAACAGCCTTCCTAAGAAGGGCTGTGCAACCACCCAGGCCATACCCTAACTACACAGAAGTAATAAGTAATAAATCTTAGGTCACACAACTAGTTAGATGGCAGAGCCAGGTTGAGGACCCCATTCCAATGAACCCACATCCTTTCTCTCTCAAACACCTAAATATTGGGGGGCACTGCCTTGGGATAGACTCCACAGGGAGGCCATCAGCATTCCTGGATAAGCCCCTTGTAAAGAGTTTGAGCCCTTAATCCCAGCTTGGAAGCAGAGTCAGGCAGATTTCTGTGACTTTGAGGTGAGCCTGGTCTCACTATGTATCCTGGCTGTCCTGACACTCACTCTGTAGACCAGGCTGGCTTTGAGCTCAGAACTTCTTTATCTTTTCATGGCACAGGTTACCTCTTGGGCAGTTTTAGTCTCTGGAAAATTTATCCAACTTCTAGTCATGCATTCAACACCTCCCTGGAACCTGTTAGGTGCAAGCTTTCTGCCGAAGCTCACAGTATAACCAAGGAGACTGCCAATCAACTCATCGCGACACTGATGAGTCCTGGGCCCAGAGGAGAAGGAGAACTAAATCCTTAGACCACTGGGAGCACCAATAGTATGTGGTGGGGTTTATATATGGCAGTGTCCACCCATGGTGTCGCACCTGCAGTGCGGCCTGCATCCGAGAATGTAGCGAGGTGGTCGGGATAGATGACACAGAGACCGGTCGGTTGCTTTAAGAAAACTTTATCTTCCCAAGTCAGCTTAGGAGAGAGCTCTCAGAAGCAATCTCAGGAGAAGTCTCTCTAAGAAAAAGGAGCTTCCCTTTTTAAGGACTTTTGCCATCCATTTACATACCATTCTTTCCACTTCTCACCCTCCTGGCTGGTGGTTTAATCTCCGGCCCCAGAATCGGGGAGACACCACAGGGGGCAGGAAGAGGCATCTAGCCATAGGAGGTGTGGAAGGCATGGTATTTCAGTGAGCCAGCCCTATCTGAGCCTTATCAAGCTTTAAAGCACTGAATTGTTTTCAGTAAACAATACATAGATGCCTGCTCCCAGGCCAAAGGGGAAGTGGGTTTCTGCTCAAGGTCTGGTGTCCCCACAATTCACCCCTTTTTATTTTTAAATGAGGCACTTCTGTCTTAGGTCAAGTAGGGTCACCCTCCCTGGCCCGTCTTTGGGGGACCTTGAACCCCTGTTAGGTGGGAGTGGGTCTTCCCCACAAGTTGCCCGTCATAAAAGTGCCCCAACTTTAAAATCATTTGTAATAAGGCTTTATGGCTATCGGGATTGCCATGGGCTAAGGCACTTTGAACTCAGCATGAAGCCAAAACGCCTACTGCCATTGTTACCATTCCTAGGACCCCCACTGACATAGCGCCTCTCTGTCACCTGCCCATCCCCCGATCTGGGCCTTAGCATTCTACCACCAGCCTTTCTTTGCTACAAGGGTGATTTATAGTTACAATTTGACGGTCAAAACAGTGATAAAGTTTACAATCATTTTAAGATCTACTTAGGAAAGCATTAGAGAGTGCACTTGCACAGATACATTAGGTACAATCATTGATGTTACACATGTAGCATTATAAAAAATATGAACAAGAGGCTTGTTGCACTATTTACAGGGTACCAATTTGTTCCTGTGGTGATGTAGTCTGTTGATTTAATGTCAGTAGTATCAGCCGAACATGCAACCCGAGTCAAAGTCTTTTTGTCGCACCAGGACAAACCACATTTCTCCAGAAAAACACACTGTGATTCCAGAAACAGGAACTACCGAGTCTGATATTTCAAGTGACCATGTCCTGTTCAAATACTGAAAAAAGGCTTTTGCCATTCATCACAGTCCATACCAATGTCTAAATGTTAAATGGGTCCTTTTTCCCCCAAAGGGAAAAGCTGGCAAAATGAATTCTGTTGTTTTAAGGTGTATCAAAGGCTAGCTGCTAATCTTCCAGTTTTGTTGGCTTTGGGATGAAAACTCACGGGTCCAGGAGGTTGATGTAGCAAGCCTGATGAGAAACTGGAAATCTCGAACTGACTGTTTTATTTCTTTCTCGGGCTGTGGCTCCAATTGCAAATTGTCCAGGGCCAAATAAGCCTGTGAAATTAAGTTTGATGGTGCTAGGCGTAACCATGGAAGCCCTGTATTCCGCTTAACAATTTAGAGAGGGAGAGAGAGCACTTAATGTCAGACAGGAAGCTGCGAGCTGCAGACCTGGTTATGTGACTTGCCTTCAGGCACACACCTTGGGTCCAAGCCTCGTCGTTAGCATCAGTGAAATGGGACTGTTGTGAGAGTCAAGTGGCTGAAGATCTGAAATGCGCTTTGACTAGTTCCCGGTCCTTAGGACTCAATAAACAACTGACTGGTGCTGAAATGTTCTCTTCCCCATCAGTCGCAGCAGCTGGCACCGGAAGGTGGGTCTGACTCAAGGCAGGTGTTCTTGATCGGGAAAGCTTCCCCTGTTCCACGACAGCCTCCTCCGCGCCCACGCCCCGCGCCCAGCTCTTCACCTAAAATCTCCCCGAGGGTGCTTCCCTATCCCAAGGGTTCTCCCCTCGGTGGAAGACAACATCCTTCAGCCCCAAACCCACCCGCAGCGGACAGCATAGGGCGGGCAGGCCCCGCCCAAGCCCCGCCCCTGACCCCGCCCTCTCCAAGTCCCGGGCTCAGCAGCGGCCACTGCCACGGTCGCTGGCGCAGAGCAGCTCAGGGGGACCGGACGGACGGGGCGGGCGCCCGGCAGGCAGCGCAGTACCTTTCACCGCGCGCAGCCCGCTAGGGACCTTCTACGCGAGTCTGGGGTCGTGGCCGCGAGGTAAGAGCCAGGATGAGCGGGAGGGATAGGTTCTCGCCTTGTCGGGTGTCCGGGAAGAGACGATCTCCAGTGGTGCCACCGCCACTGCGTTGGGCTGGCCTGGTTACTGAGTAGCCAGGGTAAGGGTGGGGCGTGCACTCTGTATGTGTGTGTGTGTGTGTGCGTGTGCGTGTGTGTGCGTGTGTGTGTGTGTAAGGTTTGGGGATCATAATGCCCCCTCTTTTCAGTTGCTTCTAAGCAATTCGCCCATTCCAAAACCACACTTTCCCACCAGACTTGAGTCGAACTGGAAAAAATGACCTGGCTGCAGGGAGGGGGGGGCGGAGAGGGAGAGAAAACCCACTGCCACCTGTTGAGCTGGGCTGCGGGTCCCTAAGGGCCAAACTCCCCAGGCTGCCGGTCTGTGATTGGACTCACTTCCCAGAAGGCTAAACCAGCTGCAAGTTACCTGTTCACCTCAGGACTTCTGGTCTGCCTATATTATTGCACTCATCCTGCCTGCTCTAGGTGTCAGAGGGATGCCTGGAGAGCATTGCAGCTGGAAGGGCTTTGCCAAAAGTCCCAGAGCTGATAAGGACCTCCGGTGGAAGAGCTTAAGACATGGGGATCCTCTCTATGCTTTGATGAGACATCAACGCCCAGGAGCACCCCTTATTTCCCACCAGACCCCAAAGTGCCCTTTTTAATAACTTCTCTTTACTGGGATCCTATCTTGTCAATTGATGAAACAGCAACATGTTAACAGTTTTAAAGTGAAATCAAATCCTAGGACTGAAAGGGATTAAAAACTCCGAGTGCCTGGCTGAGAAGCCATTCGGTTGCCGGGGGAGTCCCCACTCAGGGCTGGCTCCCAGGGTGCTTAGCCATGGTCGGCTTTGTGTTTGGGCTTCCCATATTCCCACCCCAGATACCCACTTGCCACACAGAAAGCAAGAATCCCAACCATTCCCAGGCTGGAGGCATTAGGGTTTTGTAACCCAGGAGAGGTCTTGGAGACTGGGTAGCTGCGCTGTTCACATACAGCTGGGAGAGGCTGGCCTTAATTTGTGATAGGAAACATGGACTCGAAGCCCAGTTGCTCACCCCCTGACAGTGTGGCCTTAGGTCAGTCACAGAGCCTCTTGGAGGCTTCGTTTCCTCCTCAAGTAAAGCCAGGCTGTCAGTTGTGAGAGCCAAGCAAGGTCACTAATGACAATATCCATTGACAGAAATGTGCAGGGTTACCTCAGCTGCCTCACACACTGGACTTGAGGATGGTGACCACGCAGTGACACGGCCCCATTAGTCCTCGGAGAGGGAGAGTGTGGTGGGAGAGCTCAGCTTGAGTTTAGATTCCCAGAGAGCCAGGATAAAGGAGCTGTAACTATGGAGCCCTGCCTCTAGGGGGAGCTATCACTGCCTCCCAGACTTCTGGTTCATTTATTGCAGACTCCTGGGTAATTGCCAGCTGCTCCTTTACCATGTGCCTGTCTGTCACCCCATCCTGAGTTTAGTGCCAGCCTTACATGTTGGCAGAACTGAGGACGACTACCTGTGATTTAGAATCACCAGTAAAGCCCTTCCTCACCAAATATCCCTTTCTCCCCAACTATAGCCGCCCGGTGTCTAATAACCCACCGTGAGGGGTCATCCCGTTGGTCCGCTGCCTTGTATCCCATGCCGGCTGCTAACCCTTCCTGCAATGGCTTGGTTAAAATCTTCCAGGACCTCAGATAAAAGAGGGTGAGGACAGAGGGGCAGAGAAGGGAGGAAATGGGGCTGCAGAAGAGAAAGGATGGGGCTTTGCCAACATTAGGGTCCCCAGGAACACACAGTAGCCTGGGAGGAAGCAGGGCTGGGCAGACAGGCAGCAAGTGGTGGGCAGGGAAGGCCTGAACCTCACTTGAGATTCTGTGTGGGGACAGGAAGCCGGGTAGACGGGTAGATGGTGCTGACTGACTGGGGGTGAGCTGTCGGGCCCTGTAGGAGGCAAGGAAGCCCCAAAGCAAAGCCAGCCACTCTCTTCTCACACACAGCCCCCGCCCCAGAGGCAGCTATGCAGCATTCTTGGAATCTGGAGCCTAGACTGCTGCTCTGGCTGTTTAGTTAGGGCAGCAGAATAAAGACACCAGAGGAGCTTTCAACACTTGTGCCTTACACACACACACACACACACACACACACACACACACACACACACACACACACTACCTATTGTGTCACCTCTCTGGAGAGAAGCGGGAACAGAGCAGTTCACCCACACCCAGCCTGGCTCCAGGGTTGATGGAGGCTGGAGGCTCAGAGTGATCCCTCTGGAGTCAGCCTGAGGTGTGTGTGTGGGGTCCTGAGTATGCCAGTGTGGGGCATGCTGGGGAGGTCCCTGCTGAGACAGCCCATGGGCCAATCGCTGGGGAGGGGTGGATGAGTGTCACTTGAATCTGTGGGCACCATGTCCTGCCACCATGGACCAGTCCAAAGATGAGTGTCTGCAACCCATCCTAGGTGCTCCAGAAGGCAGGGAGGCAACCAGCACGGAGATGAAATGGCCGCTGAAATACCTTAATGGCCATGCATTTCCAAGTTGCTTGTCTTGTTTTGTTTTCTAATACAGCCCCAGGTCCCACGTGTCTCAGGTTGGCCTTTAACTCTCCAGGACCCCTGCTTAGGACCTCATGTGTGGTAGGCAAGCACATTTCCAACGAAGCTGAGCTACAACCCCAGCCCAAGGGACAGCCATTGTCATACATAATGACAATGGCAGCAGTGTGTGTCTTTGTTCCTCCGTATGAGCACCTCTTACTGAGCACCAAGGGTGCCTGTGCCAGCCGCCGAGCTAAGTGACACGGGGGCCATGATTTCCTTGGTCGTGGGAGATGGGTATTCTTGTGGGAGTAGGCTAACCTGTGTATTGCAGGATATCCCCAACCTCCACCAGCTAGATACCAGGAACACCCACCCAGCTACATACCTGTCTTCAGACATTTTCCCATATTTCCCCTGGGAGCAAGGCAGCCTGCAGTCGAGAATCATTGGGGATACAGCTAAGAATAAACGGGGGTGGGGGGGGAACCAGTCCTGTTCCCTGAGGAGCAGCATTATGCAAAAGAGCAAAAAGCAGCCAGCTGCATGGTGAAAGTTATGGCAAGACCGGGTGAGGCTGAAGGGTATGGGTGGGGCGGGGCTGCCATTTTCAACAGGGGGACTGGACTCAGGAAAGGTCTGCCTGAGTGGGTGACATTTCAGCAAAGAGGGGAAAGGAGGGGAGAAAGCACGATATGCAGAAATCTGGGGACCCACCTATCAATCAGCAGCGGTGGTGTCGGTGTGGGGGGAGCTAGGAAGGGGGTGGCTGGGGCTGGGTGGTGTGGACAGCTTAGGGACAGCTGGCTGGAGTCTCACAGGTCTTTCTCCGAGGGCTTTTGCACTTTCACTGTTATCACTCACAGCCTGCTGGGTGCCGGTGCCATCTTGACTACCCTTAGCCAACACTGAGGGAGGCGAGTACTATTCTGTTCCTTTACTTGGTCTTTCCATTGTGAAGAGTGACGCCCAGAGGGGTGCGGGAGGGACTTGGAGGGTGCAGCAGGGCTGTGAGCATAGACAGTCCACACTCTTGTCTCCTGCCAAACTGTACTTTGGAGCTGTGCAGTTTGAGTTCATGGTAGCTCTCAGCTCTAGCCCCTTACTACAAATCTCTGGGTGCCTATGTTTTCTCTGAGAATGGTGACCCCCACGTGTTGGTGCTCCTTGGGGATAGTGTTTATTCTTCTTGCCCATAGGCCCCATGCCTGTCACCATGGACCAGTCAGGAAGTAGGAGGTAAGTGGCATCTCCTAGACAAATGTCTTGCTTTTGACTTTGTAGCAGGGCTACCTGCTGACGTTGAGAGCAGTGTTCCAGGAGGTCAAAGAACATAAGCCCAAGACTCAGAGACACACGAGGAAGCGTCTGGGTGACCATCTCCCTCCCCAAGACTCTGTTGCCCCGGACAGAAGTCAGAGTCTCTATTCGCCCCCTCTAGACCCTTATTTATGGATCAAGCAGTGTACACAGGAATCTGGGTCCTTCTTAAAAATAGAGGATGAAATAATAGCTCAGAACTGGGAGAAGGGAAGCAGCTCACGGTGGCTACAAGCGAATGACCCCCCTGGTCATTGCTGCTATGAAACCATTTGTGCTTTCCCTTGCCCACGGATCCCTGAATAAGGAAACAAGCAGAGAGGCGGGAGATGCTGCTGGTGCCTGGAAGACACGTATCTGCCAGTCTGCTTAAGGGACACCCAAGCTAATGAGAGACCTTTATGCCAGGAATTCATCCCCCTGCAGGCTCCAGTGAGGGGTACAGATGCTCACAAGGAATGCCCTTGACTTTGGTGGAAAAGCTTGGGTTATAGAGTGGCCTGTGCCCTCTGGTCTGTGCTGTCCTTTCCAGGGACAGAATGTGTAGGAGCACGGCTCCCTAGTGGTTCCATTAGGGGGAGGGATTATAGAATGGCGTATCCTGGGAGCTAACACGGGCTACAAAGTCTGGTAAGTGTTCTGTCTGCTCAGCCTTTGGTGGTGAACCTTACTGCCATGCTAGTGGCTACACCATCCCTTGGATATGAAAACTAGGCAGTCAATCACGAGCCCCACCCCCACACCTATGCAGTGGACTCACAGGCATGTGGTCTGTAGTTCAGCTGCTCTGTGTGCCTTGAAAGAATCACTTGGCCTCTTTGAGCCTCCATTTCTCTAATTCTGAAGTGAAGTGGTGAGCTCTTATTGTGACTACAGATCCTTGCAACACCTGTACCCGCCCACCCTCCTGGTGCTGTGGGCATGGAGCTCCACCCACCCTCTGCATGATGTCTAGACCCAGTGTGACTGAAGGTTTGTGTGTCCTTGTAAACCACTATGTTGGTGACCCTGGTCCCAGAGCCACCATCTGGCAAGAAGTGGGCACAACCGTAATGATGATGATGCATTTCCTACTCTGGGCTCCCCAAGTTGGTGCTCTGCCAACTTTGTTCACCCATAGAATGAATTTGTGAGGCCATTGCCATGAGCCGTGTGTGTGTGTGTGTGTGTGTGTGTGTGTGTGTTCATGCATGTGTGTAAGATACCATATGTGTGCAGGTGCAGGTATATACACGTGTGTGCAGATGCATGTAGACAGTTAAACACAGGTATGTGTACGTGGAGTTCTTAATTGGTCTAAGTAATAAAAACCTGGAGTCAGATATAGAGGAAAATGCTGAGAGAGCAGAGAGAAGGAGCAAGCCACAGCTACACCTTACGTCCTTATGGTCTCAGCAGACAAGAGAGCAAGTTCCTGTTTCTCCTGTTTATATCCTGTTTATATCCAGCTATCTCACTTCCTGTCTGTCTGTACAGACCTCCAGACCTCTATGGTTAGCTAGTGGCAAGCTCCATTCTCTGACCTTCAGACAGGCTTTATTTGTACAAGCAAGATATCACAACAGGCATGTGGATGCCAGAGGAATATCTCTGGTGCCAAATGGACTAGGCTGGATGGCCAGCAAGGCCCAGAGATCTGCCCATCGCTACCTTATAGGTGTGCACCACCACCCTCAGCTTTTTAATGTGAGTTCCAAGGACTTAACTCTTGTCTTCATTCTTACAAGGCAACAACTTTACAAACAGAACTATCTCCCATGCCCCACATTTTCTAGACAAAGCCACATTTTATAGACAAAGAAACTAAAACACCAAGAGAGCCGTTAACTGATCTCACATCACCCACCTGAAAAATAGTGGGGCCAGGACTTGAACCTGGTTCCTATGCTTCATGAAGCAATGAAATTTGCCAAAGAAAAAATGTAACCAAAACATCTAACCTAAGGGTGGACTCGTATAAAATTGTCTTCTTTTCATTTGAAATGAAACCTCCAGATGGAAACCATGTGATTCAAGAGACTCAGCCAGAGGTCACCTCCTCCAGGAAGCCTTCCCAGATGGTCCCGTCTGGGGCCTTGTGTGCCTTGGGGGCATCCCTGGCAGCCAGCCTCCCCAGTGCTGTGCCTTGAACTAGGAACACCAAGCAGTGTTTCCAGACTGCTTTCCCGATAGCAGCCACTCCTGTGTCATAGAAAACCATGCACACTGTGGCTCTGCCAATCCCAAGACATCTGTGTGCCCAAGTCTAATCGTGGGCATCCAGAGGTCAGTGGCCATGCCTTTGAAACAGGTTCCACCTCTGGAGTCTGATCCTCAGCAGCTCCCAGAGGTAACAGGTGACTTGATCTGCAAGAGGCCTGGTCCTCCTGCTCCCTGGAGCGGCCGGGCCATGAGGCTGCCAGGAGCAGAGTTCTTAGCATGAGCAATGATGCAAAGGGGCTGGGGCGATTAGTGGCTGCCACGGGTCTCACCCCTTAATGAACACTTGGCTTCTGGTCTCTCACCCCCCAGTTCCTGCCCCTTTCCCTGTGTGTGTGTGTGTGTGTGTGTGTGTGTGTGTGTGTGTGTGTGTGTGTATATGCCTACACTGTGTAACTTTTGGCTGGGAGAAGTGGACAGATGTCCACTCTCCCCAAATAGGACACCACAGACAACAGACCAAAAACTGACCCCATCTCAATGTAGCTCAATGAACCAGTGAGTTTACTGGGGTTCCTTATAGGAGGGTGGGTGACTCTGAGGCAGCTGCATCACCTAGAAGCCTGCCCTGGAGTAAGTGATGACTCCAGAATGATACACAACCTGCAGGCAACTCTATACAGTCTCCTCCCTCCCACAATTGCTTGAGGCTACCAATTGAGGATCTGCCTGGTAAATCTTGTAATACTTTTAACTTCCCAAGCTTAGTCATGTTTATGAGTTTCTGGACCTTTTAAGTTTTCTATGCTTCTCCCTGAGTCTCTCCTCTCTCATGGAGGGAGTATTGCAATATATCTGTGCTGTGCACAGCAAGTCTACTATTTTAGTGGTGTGGGGGGGGGGTACATGTGGAGGCCTGAGGTTGAGTTCAGGTGTCTTTCTCAGTCCCTCTGCTCCTTAGTCACTGAGGCAGGGTCTCTGAACCCAGAGCTTGCAAACGGGACTGGTCTAGCACACCAACCCTCTGTCTCCTGAGCACTGGAATTACAGGTGACTGCCATGTTTGCCTAGCTTTTGTATGGATTCTGGGAACTCAAATTCAGGTCCTCAGATGGCAGGCACTTCACCTGATGACTCAATTTGCCAACCTTTGCCATCTTAAATGTCAAATTCAATGACATTTCATAATACAACATGGAAAAGCTAGCCTTGCTCCCAGAACACCATCACCCAAAATGGAGATGCATCCCAGCAACCAGCCCCTATGTAGATCCCATTTCCCTGAGATTCCAGAGACCACCAGTCTCTTTCCTGTCCCCGTGACTTATTTTTCAGGCTATTTTATATAAACATGTGATGTGTGGTCATATTTGGTGTCTTTTATTTCACACTTGTCAAGCTGAAACATTTATTGAGATTCTGTGTGTGTGTGTGTGTGTGTATGGGCACAGAAGTGTGCAGGGCACACACACCCATGCGCAGTGTGGAGGCCTGAGGAGGGTATTGGGTGTCCAGCTCCCTCTATCACTCTATACCTTGCCCCCCTGAGACAGGGTCTTCTGAACCTGGAGCTGACTCCAGAGACCCTTGTCCCCCCACCATTCTTCCCCTCACAACTCTGGAGCTACAGGCGCACATGTCCACACGCAGATCTTCATGTGGGTGCTGGGGTTGTGAACTCGACTTGGATGCTTGATGAGGATGCTTTTATTGCAAGTACTCTTACCCTCTGAGCAAGTTCACCAATCCAAGAGATATCTTCCCTTTCTTTGATGGGCCACACTGCCATCCATCCATCCATCAGCTATGGACATCATCTTCAAGCAGTAACAAGCATTCTTCCAGGTTCCTGCTTGAGCTCTTGCCATGGCTTTCCCTGAGGGTGGACTGTAACATCTGGGGAGTGTCAGGTGTTGCTCCCACAGTCACAGGATAGGATGACTGTGAACTTGATAGGGAAACAACCTAGACCTCTGTCTAATCAGGACAGCTTCACAGCCACATGCTCCTCCCCACCAGGGTCAACCGTCTGATCCCAGATGCCTTCAGGATGGCAGCCAGGCATAAGAGTCCCTACGGCCCTTACTTGTTCTTGCCAACACCTGCCAGGCCCAGTTACTGTGAGTTCCAGGCCAAGGTCAAGGGCCTGAATTCTAAGAAGACTCCTTCCACCTGATGTCCAACCTGGTCCCAACACAGGAGCACGCTGTAGAAGCCCTGCAGTCATAATCAGAATGGAGTTTCTTAGCAGAGAGCCCTAGGGATAGGCTCGCATTGTGCAAATCCTTCCAACCCGCCTGCTTTCTCTGTGCTGAGAACATTGATTGGCTCCTGAAGACATGAGGGGCAGGGCTGTAGGCTGGGGGTATCAGTTCTCCGAGGGTCAGGGCTGGTCCTGACATCCCTCCTCCTGTGTCCCTATCCTCAAGTTCCGCTCCAGGCACGAAGTGGTGGCTGGCTTTTGTGTGGCCTCTGCACCTTCTGCGGCCCTCTCAGAAGTTTTCCTACAGAGGCCCTTTCATCCTTGAGTGTCTCGGGGTTCTCCCTTTATCCTTCTGCTTCTAGAAAATTCCAGAAGCTTGATGGGAGAACTGCCACCCTGTGCCAGGTAGGCACTATGCCAACTCCTATTTATGATGCCACATTGCACGGCTCTGGCACTTCCACAAGGACATATCATCCCACCTCAGTATGCCAGCGAGAGTTCCTACTGGAGGAAACAGAGATCCTAAAAGGCTGATTCCAACTGGAGCGCCCAGCTGGTAAGCCAGGCGGGAACT